GGGGACCGCGTGATCCTCACTGTGCCTGGTTGGAGACACTACAAGATATGGCTGGCAACCGATGTCAGTGGCGTTCCTGTTGTCAGTTTCTATCCAGATCGCCTGAGTGAGTGTCGGGAGGTATGGGCACGTCGGAATGGTTGTGGTAAGCTAGCACTAAGTCCCTTCCTCGTCCACCTTCATGCTTTTCTTTACAATAAGGCTTTCAAATAAGTCATGGTTGCACGGCGGTGAAGCATCGGTGTTGAACACTGATGTCATGCTGTTGATGGTGTAGAAAACGTAGAATATGTAGAATATTTTCACGATCTGGAGTAATATTCTGAACCACAATCCGAAAGAAATGGCGAGTAATCTTCCAACTAACTAGGCTCTGATTGGTCTCTGGATTCATTTGGCCCAACTTTGGGATTCTGGTTAACTAAAACGTAATTAAGCATATTTTGGTTGGCGTGAAAGTATATGTCATCAAGCAAAATAACCAGTTTACTTCGTATGACAAACAACGATGTATTGGGTAAGTTAGAATGTTCCATCTATGATGTTTGGAATTTGTTTTGGGAAAGATCTCCCCTCAAATTCTCTAGTTTGTAATGAAATGATGACTCTTGTTTATGGTGGGTGAAGGACGCATTCAATGGTCACAGTTTGACCAGTATAACGTTGCACCGCATGATAGCGCTACAGAAATTATGCTGTCACACTCCCTTCCAAAACAGGAACGACTATTCCCAATCCATACAGTTTCACGTCACACAGGACACACGTGATTTATCGCATGACTGCGTTCGATTGTCGACAATGAACGTTTTCCAACTAACTTCCACTCACATTCAAATAGGAAAGTAGAACAGCGAAGAACGGAAGATAGCTCGTCAGCAAGAGCGGAAAAAGAGTAAAACTGATAGCGCATGGAACGAGTGCGAACCGGATTAGATCACAAACAGATAGTGCTATGCTGCCCATTCGCTGAGTTTGGCAAACAGATGAGCTGCCAAATTGTACAAACTAGTCTGTAACTCGAGAAATACACTAATTTGCAAGTCAATTTAGTTTTCACGAGAGGCTCAACTGAATCTCTCGTTTATGATATTCTACAACTGAATGTGCTAAACACAAACCGCCTCATGATGCAGTTGGCACGATATTCGAGATATCGCAGTATATGTTCATAAAGGAAACGACTCACAAGGTTGCTGGATCTACCGATGAACCCAAGAAGGGCGAAACCGCACCTACCGATGAACCCAAGAAGGGCGAAACCGGTCGTGGGCTGCTGAAGAGTTTTCAGCAACCTTTTGGGTAGCTTCCTTTATGAAAATAGTCTATAGCTCGTTTTTATGAAGCTGAAATACTAGTTTTATATTTTTCACCAGAAAGGTCATGGATTCACTGTTTACTTCAAGTATGCGGAATTTTGAGTAATGTTCCGCTTGCAGTGGTAAGAAGTAAGTAATCTTAAAGCCTTTGTGAAAAATTGACGAAAATGGTAACCGCTTTTATGTCAAAACTTGAGTTGATTTTATCAGACTCTCTAAAGCTGAATGAACTCAACTGAGCGGTCACCTGACAACAACCCAAAATTCTGTGTTGAATACTTTTCACTAGGCATGTAAAATATCATTTGGTACTTGCTTGAAGGCAAGGTGGAAGTGTTTGGGACTTGTATTAAGTGAGATATGGAAAAAAGCCCAAACTAGTAACATTTCTTATGGTAGGACCTGAGGTTATTTGCCTGAAAATACATGCTTCTAGAACAGCGCCTACCTGATGAGCCCCAAGAAGGGTGGAACCGGTCGTGAGCTGTCGAAGAGTTTTAAGCAACCTTGTGAGTAGTTTACTTTATGAAGACATAATGATGTTTTTCTTTTCGGGATACAGTTGGCCAGAAGTGCTACAAGAAGTAGCGAGTTCCGAAAATTGTCTTTGGTATGAAATGAATGGATGATATTTGCGGTTTAAGACAATTTAAACAAGTTTAAATTCGTTGTATTAAGCTGAGTAGATGGACGATTGTCCAACCATAAGAGGTTTTCCAAGCAGAGTCAGTTGGCCAAAGACGAGGTTGAACAACTTTTTGTTGTGACTGAAGGAGGTTTGGCCTAGCTTTTTTTCCTAAGCTATGACTTATAAATGTGGATCAAGGATTCAAAATTTTTTCTGAAGTGGTCTGGAAGGAAATTTTCATTATACTACTTGCTGACTGTTCGACTGATGGCTAATGTTGGTGCACGAGGCGTGAAACAAGTAGTATCTTGCTGATTTTGTTTCTGACAACGCCATTAAAACTAGATGAATTTACCGCTGGAAGCCTTATTGAGATCATTCAGGTCAATGATGCATTTGGCATTTTTCGGTGAAATTAAATCTGCTAGCCAATATTTACCTGTCAGGACTTTGTTTGCAGGTGGTTTCTGGATTTGAAGAAAACGAAGCTGGAGTGTCAAAGTCTTGCATCTCACGTTTTATCACTAAGACAATGATGCATTTGGCATTTTTCGGTGAAATTAAATCTGCTAGCCAATATTTACCTGTCAGGACTTTGTTTGCAGGTGGTTTCTGGATTTGTAGAAATCATGCTCACATCGCTCTTGTTTAAGCCGTTGGCCTCTTTTTCTGGTGCAATTGTTCTAATGAGTCCACACCAAGAGAACTCCTATTAGAGGTCATCAAGAGTGCATTTCCGTGGTCCTACAAGGGTTTGAACTTCGAACATGTGCGTTGACGCTACGCTGGCCGTATCTACTTTGAGTTTATACTCCACTGTGACAAGCAACTGAACCGCTTACTTTTGTGTCACAGCACGTTATTTCTAGAGTTGCGAATCAATAAGCTCCAAAAGAAAACAAGCCCCAATTTTCAACTAATGTGTCAGCCCTAGTTAATCCGCAAAGGTTGTCTGCGTTTTGTGTTCCTCCAAAAAGAAAAAAACAACAGAATTTACAACGGCAAGCTGAGGGACTTTGAGATTTTATAGGATACTTTGAAGGCAGATTTAATTAAGAGTGACATACATCGCCGTGCATTAACATTTCTTTTACAAATCCCCCCAGTCGTAAACGCAAAAGATTCCATTTGTATAAATAAAGTTTCGCATTTGTTGGCAACCAGGCTAGTCTCGGTTGTCCGATTCGGGATTTTAGGCTGTTCATTGTTAGAATTGTTACGCGACCCGTGTGAACACATGCATCAGAATTTCTCATCCCTGCGTGCCTGTTGGCTATGCGAGCTAATATTGTCAACACTTGGAGACAATTGCGCTTCTCATGAGTTCACAATGCGCCACGTTGTGATATTTACTCTAGGCAGAAGACTTGTGAATTACGGCATTGTACTAATTGGGATCCTAAACCAATTTCAAAAACGGGTATCTGAAACGTTCTTGTAGGGTATTTTGAACAACGATTTAATATGGAGCGAACCTTAACTGAAAGTGGAAAAGAGTGATGTCGTGCTTTGTTCTACTCTGCATTTTAGTATGGAATTAAGAAAAAAGAGGAGGAAAATCCCGAGTTTGATTTTTCAAGCCCAGAAGGAAGACTTGGCCGGAAAAGAAAGACCGCGGCGGAGTTGGCTGCCGAAGCCTCTGCAGCTGAAGAGGCCGAAAATTCTCTGACCAGTAAGTGGGCGCTCATATGGTGTTTTCTATTCAGCTACACTTGGTAGATGTGCATGGTCGGTTCTTACGCAACATGCGTTTTCTTATCTAGCTAGGACTCAAGGTAGACCATTTTCGAGTCAGAAGTTGCACAATCTTTTGACTTTGACGTTTGTTTTCGAAATTTGGATTCTGATGTGTTATCCATTCCTTCTTCGCATACGACAGTGTATTATTCGTTTCGTATCTGTTTCACATTTTGCTTAAGTTAGCCTAGTTGTCCTAAATATAGTTTCAACTTTTTACATCGTCTAGGTAATACGAGATTCAAGAATGGTCATATTCCTACATCTGACTTGTTTGTTCAACACTCTGGTCACTGTTCGACAGGTCACAATTTCGTACACTGATTAGCTCGAGAGTGAGACATTTGTTGCATAGTTTAAAAGTAACAGGATAGAGAACTTGGTGATGAATATACTTGCAACGTTTTATTCACCCAAGCAACTTGTAGCATTGAAGAGGCTACAGTTGCAAGTATTTGCAAACGTGAAGGTCATCTTGCTGTTGTCACGTGAAATAAAATTGCCCTGAGCCTGGAAACTGCGCACTTTGAACTGGGTGGCGTTTCGAAATCCTATCACGGATTTTGTTACTGCATGGAATAAGCTCCTAAGACGGTGAGTATTACTCTATCAAGCAAAAGCCCCACAAAATGTGGCATGTTCGCGCTTTGGCAAATCGAGTTTTAAACTGTAAGGGAGCGTTTTCATCCTGCGGGTGAGGGTAGTATTCATTCAAAGTATTTTTCTGTGTTTGGAGCAATTAGTCTGGGAACAACTAGTAACAATATAGCAGCAGAAATAGAATAATCGACAACTGTCTCTCTTGCTTTAAGATGTCAGATAGCTTGTTGTTATTTCGGCCAGTTTCGCTAGTTTGTGGATTTCATCTCGTAAAACAAAGTTAACGAGTGCTAAAAAGTACCAGAGTGTACCTTCTCCATCTCTGATAGAGCCAGCTTTCGATGCTTCGCAAAAATATCGGAAAAAGTTCGAATTCATAACTTTCCGGGGGTTAAAGAAGGGTGTAGTTAACTCTAATTTGGACAGAAATTAACACCGCTTGTACCCCATTGTCACTGCAGAGGCTGAAAACACCACTTTTATTGAACAGAATTCACGCGGCCAAAGAATTGATGTCCCTTTTTCTAGAGTGCCAGGCAAAACCCCTTGTAGAACAGTTAAGTATCAGGTCTCGAATAGTTCCCAGGAGGCACTTTCGATGAGGATTGTGAACAGAGATATAAAGGTGCATAGTAAGACCCTGCCTTTTACTATAAGTCTACCTGACTTTTCAACAAGGGGCGGCCTAGAAACGGAACTTCAAAATGTATCAATCACATTCTAATGTACTCTACTTCTGGTAAGCTGACAAGTTCTCGTAGTCAAGCAATTGTATTCCGGAACCTGCTGGAGCTTAGTTATTTTGAAATATGAAAACGGACAAATACCTATTTGGTAATATCAGGCTATGACATGTGTGGTTCCTTGAACAAGTAAAAGGTGGTGAACTGACACAGCAAGCTTTGCTTCACTTAACGAATCTGAAGGATGTACAAAACCTTTATAACCGTGCTTACTGGATCACAAGATTTAGTGAGTAGGACAGCAGAGTAACCGGTCGGATCACAGAGTTGTGTAGGAACTACTGTATTCGAATACACAGTAAAAGAAGCCTTGTGCTTTATTGGATGACTCCGTTTTACCATTCTTTTTCTTTTACAGATATGCTACCAGAAAATATGCGCGATATAGCACACAAAGTCACCGAAGTCCCGGGAAAACTAATCTCCGAAGCAACAGACAAGTGCTCTGCCATGTAACGCCTTCGTTTTTTTGGCCTCCTTAACTTCGGTTTGCTCTTCGCAAGGACCAATATTATTTTTTACCTCGTTCTACTAGTGTGTTTCACATATAAAACTGCTTGAGGTTGAGCCGTATAATCTGTGTAGTCGATTGAGGTGCCGAAACTTAAACGGTAACTTTTTTTGCATTACATTCAGCATCCGCCATTGCTTGCCCCACCTGGACAAGTTTAACTTAGCAGACACCTATTTGCCTCAACCTGCTTCTGAGGACCACATGCAATTTAGTCAAAAAATCGGCGCACCGTAGTCACGGTGAACAATTAGAACTGCTTAGTTGTCTAGCGTAATTCGCCGGTAGAGCAAAGCCCACGGAAGATCCAGACACTTGGCATTGAGCACGCACTAGTCGAATTTCATCTCCTCCTTTTCTCTCTCTCGCTCTGTCTCTTCCGTAAACATTATCCAATGACAATGTGAAAACGCATAATTCTACACAGGGTAACCAAAATGGTTCCTTGTTTGTTCAAAGATTTACCTCTATTTAACTTCACATTCAAAAAAAGTTACAATTTGGTCATAAGCATTATTTCAGAGATGTATGTCATTTTGGAATCATTTCATTTGTAAATTGACGGATTTTGCAGAGTTTCCGTGATTTATCCTCCCTGTTTTTTTCTTTAAAGTCAATAAAAGTGTTTATCGAGTCCTCTAATGTGACCTTGCCCTCCCACTAGGTTTGAGCCAGCGTCAACACAGAACCCACTTGTATCAACGAGCATTTGTGCTCTATCGTCTCCCTGCTGTGAGCTGCCGCGACATAATAAAGTTGAGTAAACTTCGGTTTAGGTGGCAACACTTTTGTAAACTGTATAAAAATTGGTTAGCCAAAAACATTTCAGGTGGAAACTTTAAGTTTTCCTAATAAACAACTGAAAAAACGACGGCAAACAGAAAGCTTCTCAAAAATGATTTCTCCTTTACGTGTATGAGGTCGATTACGAAGAAACAACTTTTCTAGTAGTCGTAAATCTTGGGATATGGTGTAACTACGATTAACACATTTGAGAAACCCAAGATCCTACGTAATGTCGGATGAACTCGTGAAATGTCATTACGTGCTTTGACTCCCGTATGCTTCACTGTATATTCTAAAAAGCCGGAAACACTGTACAGCAATCATCTGCAGTTCAACCGGACAAAACTCCAGAGATGTTCAAACTCAAAACCTCCCGGGTTGTAGTTTGAACACTTTATCGTTTGACAGCGAGCGTCCTGACAGTAGCTCAAGTTTTTCTGCGGGATACTTAATGCAGACGAGTCGACGAAAATAGTGACAGTGGCCTGTTAGATTTGAATGCAAGTCCAAACATGAAAATACTTGAGCGACAACTCACTTTTTATCCATTTTTTGCGCCTTAGAAAGACGATCAAAATGTTGTGAGTGTGCCCTCACTTTGATGTAATCATAGGTGCAACTAATGAACAACCTTTTGCCAAGCGGAACCGAGCAAGCGAGAAATAACAGTTTGGTTGCTTGGTTAACCAGTACGGATGAGCAGTGTAATCCGCTTGACTGAATTCTAGACGCAGGAGAATTCAGAAATTTACTGGAAGCACGTGACCAAAAATGAACATACTTTTTTGGTGGATGGAGTGAATTTGAACGGTTTTAACGCTTCGTAACGAGCCGGTATAGTTATTGGAACTTACATTTTGATTCAGACAACGTTACATTGGAAAGTATGGATGTCTAAACGAGTAAAGGTTTTTTTGTAATCGTGGTGTCGAGACATTCAAAAACAGACCTGTGAACTTAGTGTTCGTTAGTAGGGAATGTATGAACACCATTCAGGTGGAATTCAAATTGACAGCACGTTTGAAGGAGTAATGGGACCGCGAAATAAATATAGACATTTTGGTGAGGGAAGTAGGACTTGAATCAACCAAAAAAGTCAACAAAATAGTTGATAGGGGAGAACATATTAACAGTAACTGGTTAAAAATCAAACAAGCGCAAATCTGCCGGCATAATTGTATGCATACATGGTGAGTAATCTCTCTGATAAGAGTGCCGTAAAGTGTATCTGTGTATCTCAAATGATTTTTTTATGCATCTCTTGCCTCGTGCTAAAGAAAAAGCTTAACGGGGTACGCAGCTAATGCTTGGATGCACCGTGATAACTTGGTACCTTTAAGGTGCACAAACCAGTTGAACAAAACTGACTTGAGCACGAGGCAGCAGAAGTGGCGAAACAAATCCCTACTTGTAAGTAAAGACTTATAATTGAGCCTTCATTCCACCGTTTGGTCAATCAATGCGATCCACCGATACCTAGATTACTCGTTTTCATGTAGTTGAGACAAAATTTTCAAACTCCCCGGAATGAACTTGGTGAATCAGCTCCAGGGAAACTGGTGGCCATTGAAACACCTAGTTCAACTCCACAAAGTGCACAGACAGTGAACACCAAAATGGTAAATTAACATTGTTTGACATTTTATGAAGACATCACAAGCACTCCGGTTAGTTAGGAACTTATTTTTCAACTTCACTGGGTTTTCTGACGATTTATTGTGCTTTCTTGCCGGAAATTCATTGCAAACGGCCAAGCATATATCAGTGAGTGATGGGAAGGACTAGTTCTCAAGAAGTCACTTGCACCACAGCTTGGGTTGTAATCTGTGCGTCAGCCTTTTTCTCGGCTGAGTAGACAGCAGCTTCATTTACAAAGGTCAGGGGATGAACCCAAATCTGACTACAACTTTTCGAAAGGCAATAAAAGATAGTTACTCAGTGGACATTCCTGAAGTTCAGCTTTAAAACTCCTGTTGGTAGCCGACACTATACACAGTAACGGTTGATTGCGAAAAACTATTCAGTTTCTGGACTAGCCAGCAGCACATGGGAGCAATATTGGCAATCGCGACGTTGAAAAAAAGACATTCAAGTAAATCTGTAGCTGAGTCTTGGCTATACTGTTCCGGTTCTTCTATTAGAAAATTCGAGTGCAACATTCGCTGTTAGGGCTCGCATTATCAAATGAGTTGTTAAATGTACGTATTTTGAGAGCCAAAAATGATCCTTTGCACTCGCGTACGATGAAGAACCATACAAAAGACCAAACCATTTCAAACCGCAAGGTCGCCTATGTTTGGGCAACGGATGATTCTTTTGTCGGGGTAATTCAAACCATGACGAAGAAAGAATAATATGATCAAAAAACGGAAATAGGAGAGGCTATATGGCTTATACTATCTGCTAACTATTTTTATTCTGATTGCTTTCAGGTAGCCCTGGGGCTTGTAGCATTTGTTTCTACAGCCCTCTGGTGATCCTCCCGGGTAGTCCACGCTAGAGGAGAAATCGTTAAACTAAGGTTCAGACCTTATTGGTGCTATTCTGTAATGCACATATTTGACTAGGTTCAGATTCGAACCTTGGACATTCTGAGTTCAGTATTACCAATAATTTCTCAGTAGATGCAGGATGGCCGTAAATTATCGCCCATGAGTAGACGTACGTGATCAGCTTGATTAGTTGATCGAATATATTGGTTTTATTGACCATCTCATCCGTCTGTGAAAGACCTTGGCAGATAGGGTTACGACAGGATTTTCATAATTTGATCCTATGGGAGCCTCCTCATCACTGTTTAAATGGAAATTGCGGGCGATTCACGGGTAAAACCACTTCAGCGTTCAACAGATGATGTTTTTCTAGGTCTTGCAGTCCCCGTTGCATATTTTAGGTGATCAAGGTTCAGTTCTTGATATTTCTAACGGTGTGCACTAGGGATGACCTCCAAATGGGCGAAATCCTAATGTGCTGTTTGATCATTTGAAGATTTCATCTACCAGAATAATCTCACTAGGACAACGAAACTCTTCTATGAAACCCGCTGCTTATTAGAAGTAAATTCACGCATATTATTGAAGACTAGGCGAATGATGAGTAAGAATTACAAATTATTTTTAGAAAAGCTGTTCGTCAACACGGTTGTTTGAGAGTCGAAATTGCTGAGAGGTTGGACGAACCAATAGCTAGAAGGATAGGTTTCCTAAAACTCGCCGCATCAGCTAGCAAGCTAAGCTTTTTTGGGAGATTTTGAAAAATCTAGCTGTTCATTAGCGACAGGAACGTAGGCAGGTGAAAAAAACTATTCTTCAACTTTAACTAATGCCTCCCAAATTGCACGACGCGAATTTTCCAAATAGTGCAGATTTCACCAGGGTATTTCTTTCATCCAAGTGACAAAGGTGGTTCCTCAGAAAAGCAAATATAGTAGCACAACTTTATCACCTAATTTAATGACAGTCTAACCAATCTGCTTTATGAATATGCCTGAGTCAGATTAATCAGGCTCAGGAGACTAAAAACAGAAACGTTAATGAATATGAACGCCGAGTTACGGATTAACGTTATTCAAAAACAAAATATGTCATATCGACACATTCTACTTCTCGTGAACTCTTGAAACATTCGCTTGAATAATTCGAACTCCAGCAGTAGTTTTCGCACCAACATGACAAGCTATAGACACGAAAACGTACTACTAGCTACCGGTCAGTAGTCAAATATCAAACGTCATTCGCCATTGGTGTTCAGCCCAATGACGCATTGGGCCAAATTAAAAAACAGGACATTTTAAAACAGAATACAGTAACCCTGTAGTTAGAAGGAAGGGGAATACCAGTCGTCGGATACTGGTAGGTAACCACCGCTCCGATCGGGGCGTCTATCTAGGGTCACCATAGTTCAAGGTAATTTGCATTCGACGAAAAACATGGATTCCTGCATGACAAAAAGAAAACTGCCGAAAAATCGCAAAAGTACTCCCTTTTTATTAAAAGTGACGAAACATTTTTCAAGAAGATTTTTTTGAGAGGAACTACTACTCATTGTGATCGTTTAATTCATGACGAAGTCTGTTGTAGTTTTGTTAGATTGTTGCTGATCATTAGACACAGTCCTGGAGACAGTTAGAAGCCGTTGCAGCGCAACATGTAATAAACCAGCCTCATACCTGGCACTGAAAGGGGGCTGTCACAAGTTTGCGAGTGTGAAAGCGGGAGAATGAATGTGACCACTGGCATGAACTCACACCGCAAGACGATCACTGGTATACCAAAGCCAGATCGTTTTGTAGGATAAGTAACGGTCAGTTTCACTTATAAAGGGATTTGAATACATTCAGGCACTTGATAAGTCTGATTTGATCTAACCCCTCAGAGTAAATGATGACATACGATTTTACTCCTTGATAACTTGATGTTTTGCACTAATTTATTCATTAGCAGTTCGTGCAAAGACCCGCTTCAAACCGCACCAGGATGGCTCTATTTATTTTGCTCAGTGTTTGTTTTCATGGACGAGATATGATACGAACTAGCTGCTGGTTGGTTCCGTTTCCCATGTCAAAATCCTTGGCTGTATCAAAATAAATAGGAAAATCTGAACTGCGCTTCTGAATAGATCAGCTTGTGAGTAAGTAACAGTGGAGGCCACAGGGATTGCGTAACTCTGGAATGAAACGAATTCATGTGTCTCCGAGAGTCCGTATGCAGTTCACTTGCAGGTTGTTCCGTTGAACAACTCAAAACAGATCGTGTGCACTTCTTTCCACATGTTCAGTCTAGTGTATATAGCTGCATGTAAAAATCACTTTCACAGTGCATTAGCTGCAAATTTATTAGCATTGTGCT